CTCCACTCTGAGATGGGAGCCACAGCAGCACCAGCTGCCAGCACCATGGCTTCTCCAGAGTCCCCAACATGGCATGGCATATACCACCCTGTGACACCATGTCTGGAGGCTGGAGTCACCGGTGAGGGTCACAACAAGCCCCTCATCCACCTGCCAGGTCTCACACCAGCTGGCATTTCAGCTCTTGCTGAGCCCTGCTGGGCTGGCACCCGCATTGGTGAGTCACAGCAGGGAGTAGGGCAAGTGCCTGGTGCGTGGTCCTGCCCATGGCAGGCACGCATCCCACCATGGCAGCTCCTCTGTGCTGGGAACTCCCGTGGGAAATCTGGGTGAAGCCCCCTCCCTGCACGGGGATGGCCCATCCAGTCCGGCAGGTCCCAGTAGGCATCCCCTGGCCCTTGCCCAGCCGCAGCAGCTCTCACTTCCCTCTCGTTTCTGAGTTCTGGGGGGGCCTGGCCACCCCAGCTCACATCTGCTGCCAGGCTTTCCAGGGCTCCTCCAACCCCAGGGCAGCAACTTTCCTGGCTGTAGGGCTGTTTTATTTCTGCAGAGAGAGCCCCAGGGGGTTAAATTCACCTGAATCTGGTGGGTTCAGGCAATCACCAGTGTCTCCTCTGCACGGATGCACCTGGAGCTGGCTCTGCAATGTGAAGCTACAGCAGGGATGGAGCGAGGTGTGCCTCCCCGAGCCAACCCTCTGCAAGGAATGGCAAAAGCAGGTGCTGAAGGATGTTCAGTGAAGCTGATGAGGAGGATGAGGAAGGGACAGATCCTGAGCACGGCCAGGATGCACAGGGCTGGGAAGGGCCTCAGCTGCTGCAGAAGCTCAGAGCCGGCAGAGCTGCTCGAGAACGGAAATCACTGTTTGCGGTGGGGGCAGAGCAAGCGCCACAGTGTGCACTCTGAGCGCTCCGAGCATCCTGGCGGCGGGAGCCAAGCTCTCCTGGCCCCAACACGCACGCCAGCTCCTATGGAGTTCTGGTGCTGACATCCAGGCATGAGGGAGTCCCGGGACTGTGTGGCCATGCAGGGATTCCAGCTAGCCAGCAGAAAGGGCACTCCCAGCATGGAGAAACCCTTCCCATGTGGACAGGTGCCCACGGACATGGAGAAGGGAGGCAGGAGTGGTCACAGGGAAGACTGAAAGCGGCAGGGATGGAGGGGTGCATCAGGGCTGAGATTCAAAACCTACTTCATTGGCTTTGGCACAAAGGTAGTGGTGCTGGGGCACTCTCTGGGCTATGCGCTGACACAGGCAGAAAACATAGGAAACACTCAGTCCTGGAGCTCACCACGGCGTCAGTGGCAGGGATGCAGCTGGTTTTGCACTTTCAGCCCTTTGCTGCCTGCCCACCTGTGGGTGCTGAGTGGGGCTGTGGTGCTGCAGAGTCCCGTGTTTCCCCAACAGGTGCCCAGCCCATGTGCCAGGAAGGCTGCATAGCACAGCTCTGGGCTGCTCCCAACTCGGCAGTGCCAGGCTCCATAACAGAGCACCCCTGCCCCGGGAACACTGTGCCAAGTGGGCATTCAGGCACTGAGAGTAATGAACGGGCTCTGTGTCCCAGGTTTTGGGGACTCACAGCACACAGCGGCTCCTGCAGGGGACTGGGATGGGAGAGACTGTGCCAGACAAAAAACTCTTCCAGCACTGGCATTGCACTGGGCTGGGCAGACCGGTGGAGGCGGGGGGTGGGGGGTG